TAAGGGTCGCTCCTCCCCTTAACACTTTGCTGTCACACAGCCAGCAGTACAAAATATCCCATCTGGTCACCCAGCCAGGAGAATGACTGCAACAAACTTCTTGGGCCTGGTGCAGAACTGCGCTAGGTGACCGGAATATATAATTTTTCTGGGCGTATTATTGCGCGAAGTGACCTCAAAGTGTTAAGAATAACCAAATGTTTCTAACGGCCCAACAATCTGTGTACAGCTACAAGGTGATGCTGAAGACGTGGAAAGTCGACCCCGACGAGCGACCTTCCTTTTCTGAACTAGTGTCTACCATGGGAGATTTCCTGGAAGCCAATGTTAAACAGGTGAGAGGGGTGGGGTTGGGGGTGGGGGGGGAAGAGATGTCAAACTGTTTTCCCCTGTATTTCCCTCTGGTACTACCTGTTTTTAAACAAGGAAAGATATGCAGTTGCGAGTGTCATAAAACTTTTACAAAACTGAAACAAACAAGCAAGGTTAACTTTTACAGTACCGTCGGCGACTCTAGTTGCCAGGCCGTAGTATGCCCTAACTACCGCCAGTGACTTTAGTTGCCGACACAACCAGGCACACTTAACATGATTAAACAACGAATGGACGCACTGCACTGAAGTAAATATTAAAGGAAGTCACTTTGTATTATAGCTGAATGGTTGATGAACCTTACTTGATGAATTTTTAAATTGTGTTTCTTGGGCTGCCAAGGTTTTTTTTAATAAAAAAAAATTCTACCACAACTTCAGCTTTCTAGACTGGTACGGTATTTTAGGGGTTTTTGCAATATGAGCCTGCGGTACTCTAAGTGTTAAACAATTTTTTTCTTCTGTGTTTCCCCCCAGTACTACCTTGACCTCTCCTCACACTACGTGAAGATGCTGGCCGACGGCGAGGGCTACGGTGACGAGCCCAACATCGCCACAGACAGCGACGGCTACCTAAAGATGTCGCAAGGCCTTGACCCCGACTACCTGCCCATGAGCGCCACGCCGCCGGACGAGAAGACTCCGCTCAAGGTGAATAAGACAAAAAACAAACCTGTTTAGTTGTAGCCGGAGTTTTACGGTACTTCTAACACAAATAGGCCATATAAGTGCTGAAGATATCCCAGTGACAAGCGGAAGCTCTGCGATACCCGTCATTTTAGTAACCCACTTTCAGCACTTTTTAAGGACCCCCGGGCAAGTGTTGAGTTCCTGCGTGCTGTTGGCATCGTTGACCTTTTATGAAGCCACAGCACCAGAAGAGAGAGAGAGAGAGAGAGAGAGAGAGAGAGAGAGAGAGAGAGAGAGAGAAGCTCTGCGATACACTAACGAGTGGTTTGTCAGTTTGTTAGTGTTTGATCGCTTAATCTGCTGCTTGCACTGTATGCTTCCCGGGAAGCCGAGAATGTTTCTGAGTGTTATAGGGTCTGCTGGGGTAATAATGTAGCGTAAAGCGCATAGAGCTTGCTGTTGAGCCGGGGGTGTGCGCTGTACAAATGCTATATATTTATTATTTATCATTATTATAGTGCTGTCAAAAATTGTGGCGCATATTGACTTAATTGTCAAATATCTCCACTACTTTCGAACATAAACTCTCCAGCTTTTGCACATTGATTTTTATCAATTTGTCTTAACGGATTAATATTTTCGTAAACACCTGTTAGCTCTATTCTTGAAAATTCCTAAATGTATACTAATAAAAAATCCCAGTGGGTGGTTTCTACTGATTTAAAAAGGTTTACTGCTGGGATAATATCACTTTTAAAAGCAAGTGATCACTTGCGAGATTATGTTTTATGAACGCATGTCTTGAGAACTTTTAATGCAAAAAAGTGTTCGCAATAAATTGATTCACCGGTTAAAAAGATATTTTAGGATAAGTTGCACCACGAATTCTTGACTGCACTATAAGTGTTTCTTTTCCCAATCCCCCACTGCCAGGCCGATGCTCCCCGCTACGCCAACGAGCGTCTGTGGCGGCCCGATGAAGGAACTGACATCGAGATGGAGCCGCTGACCAGGAACGACAGCAAAGTGTCCGTCCCCGAGATGATCGCGCCGGGCTTTACCCCAGGCTCTGAGACCAACAGTCAGGTACTGGACACTTACTTTGTTTACTTTACTTACTTTTCCAAGCCAGCGGTCGTCTGAGTCTTAGCCCTTCGGCCTGAGGTACTGGTCGCATTGTGGTTGTTGTTGTTGTTGTTGTTGTTGTTGTTGTTGTTGTTGTTGTTGTTGTTGTTATCTATCCAGGAGGTACTGGACTCAAGGGCAAACAATATCGTCTGCAAATTGTTCGAATGTACTCAACTAAAAAAAGCAACATTTTTCAGTTGTTTTACTAAATGTTCCAACGTTATGTGTCTTTTCTGGCTTTTATCAACTTTTAGAATTTGAAACTGAGTCGATAGTGCTGTAAAACACCTACTCAAACAAACAAACAAAGAAACAAACAGAATTTGAATGTCTGCAAATTATTTCACAAGTGTATGCAACTAATACCACAGATAAAGAAATTACAGTAAAAGAAGTTTTAAAATATGGGGCTTTGTACAGCTAAACAGCAGGCTCACGATAAATATAGACACAGTCAACGTTGTGCAAGAAGGCCAGCCATTGTCGGACAGAAAAGTTGTTGGTCTTAGACAGGGAGATGTCTTGGACAGGGTCATTATAGTTGTCAGTTTTTTTTTAAATTTAAGGGAGGGAATGAGAAATGGTTGTTTGAACAGGTGATTGTCTTATAAAGGTGATTGTCTTGTACAGGTGATTTTCTTGAACAGATGATTGTCTTGGACAGGGAATTGTCTTGGACAGGTGGCCAGTAGAGCACATTTGACTGTATTTCTTTATTTTAGCCTATGAGCTGAAATATCACGTTTCCCTATATCAGTTTTTGTTTTCTATGATCTAAAATATCTCGGAAGAAGATAGTAGAGAAGCCGTAACACAAGAACATTATACCATATAAAGCATAACAATTATTACCATGTTGACATATTTTATATGCAAAGTAGACATTTTATAACGGGCACCAAATGGGAGACAGGACAAAGAAAGAAAGAAAGAAGAACACTTTTTCTCTCTTTTTCGTGTTGAGATTTCTCTACTATCTTTTTCGCGATTTTTTTCTCAAATTGTTATCGGACTTCTTGTCAGCTTTAATGGTTTATTTACGAACTTAAGTATTGTTGTCAACTCATCCAGGTGCAGACAGTCACTGAGGTTCAATTACCATTTGCCCATGAACTAAATTATTGTCGTTTACTCGTTCACTCATCCACTCATCCATTCATCCACTCATCCAGGTACAGACAGTGGCTGAGGTTCACCAGCATGAGGACAACGACAGCGGACACAGCAGTAGCTACGAGGGAGCGGGCGCGGCTGCCAACGACGACTACCTGGTCCCTATCTCTGTGGAGATGCCCGAGGAACAAGCGCCGCCGGTCCCCAGCGGGGCTCAGCCACACAGCCAACGAGAGCGTGGGGACCGGACCACCGCGCAGCCAGCCTCCGGAGGTGAAGGTCGCACCCGAGCTTTGCCGTCAAACCGGAGCAGAGGAAGTCAGGGTTCGTCGTCCAGTCAGGGAGGTCCGGTTCCCTCCCCCGTTGGAGCAGTCAGTAACTCGGCCTACGCCCCGAACCCGATCCCGGGCTCACAACTCTCTCACGACCTCAACTCGAAAGCGGCGGCGGCTGCTAAACCCCGCCCCCAACAGCTGCAGAGACCGGCCCTGGGTTCCCGCGTGTACAACGCCGGTCCTAACGGCTCTGGTGGTAGCAGCACTGGCAAAACCGCCGGGGGTCGCTCGCCGGCCTCCTCACTACCCATGAATCCCTTCGCTCGCTACCACCGACCCACATCAGCTACGTCACCAGAACCCACCTCCCCACAGACTCCGCCCCTCTCGGACATCGGGAACAGCGAGGCGGCTGGGGCTAGTCAACCCCTGCTGGAAGGATTCAAGTCGCGTGTGGCCAAAAAACGGGCGGACCTGCCTCTACTCTTGTCCAACACATCCAGCGGCTACAACTCTGATATGAGTCCCTCTGAGCCCACGCCCCCTCCCGACTACAGAGCTGTGCTAGAGGATGTGACTGAGACGGATATCTTGGTGTAGTGGCTCCGTTTGTGTCTGTGAGGGGAAAGTCTTTGAGGGGAAAGTCTTTGAGGGAAAATGTTTGAGGGAAACAGTATTTGATATTGCTCACCAACTTTTACTGGACAGTTTATTTGGTGGGGAAAGCTTCAACACTTTCACTACACAAAGGCAAAGGACCTGCTAGGGATTGATTTGCAAACATTCTGGTTTTGAGTTTCATTCATGAGAACGCTGACAGAACAGTGAAGTCAATTTGTGTATCCCCATTAAGGGCGTACTATTTTACTCTAGGACTACCGTGCTTTTCCCTGTTTTTGTGAGATGGAATCTATAAATAGACTTGTTGGATCATGATGCTGATTCAGCCTGTGGCTTTTCATCTTTGAGATAATGTTACACATTCATTCGTACAAAGTTTGCTTGATTTTAAAGTCGGTGTTGAAGTGTATGTCTTATCGCTGAATGTTTATATAAAGCTTTTAACTGTTTTACTTGTGTGTGTGTGTGTGTGTGAGTCCATGAGGAATCCTGTGAAGTGTGTGTGTGCGGGTGTGGCGTGCGTGCGTGTCCAAACTTCTGTTGGTGTGTTCGGTCATGCACGGGTATACAACATAGATATTACAAGATATATACCACTGTTGTGTTGACACATTCAACACACTGGGAACCAAGGTCCAAGGTTACAAGAGAGAAGGGAACGTGTTGTAGCATGTGCTGATGTGTGAGTGAGTGGGAGAGAAATGTGTGAGGCGTGCTGACAAAATGAGTTACTTCTCGCAATCTGAAAATGGAGATATCTGCCGAAAATCAACAGTAGAGTCAGATTGATGGATTTTTCTATAGATACCTGTTTCTTCAAGTCTACCTAATCTTTTATTTTTCCATACTTTCAAATTGTACAAACTCCACCAATGAAGTTGATGTATCAATTTCTGTATGGCTAAAATCCGAAAAGTAACTCATTTTGTCGGCACACCTCACATGTGGATGTTTGGGGGACACCATTGACATAATATTACTCCCACAGATCAGAAGCTGGTAAGAAATACTCAACACTCTGGTGTGCTTTGGCTGGATTGTGAGACGCTGTTGTAAGTCGAGAGAGGAACAAAATGTGAGGCAGCGTGGTGAAATCAGATGCTCGACAAAATAACGAAATCGGAGAAATAAGCATTTTCCTGCCAGCTTGGAAATTTTTATCAAATTTGTATTTCTTGGTTTAGCCTCTTTTATGTCCATATATAGAAACACATTTCCATGTGATTTTTACTGAAAAACATTGATTAAAGGCTCAAAATATTTCATTTTTCATTTTTCAAAGACTTGTTAGCTATTGGAGTCACCAAAGTTTGGTGGCCATTTTCTCGATAATTTCACCACTGAAATCAGGCAACCCTACTTTCTTCAATCCCAGATATCTTAAGTTCTATCAAGATAAATGTATATTTATTTTATTGGAAGCAAAGCAAATAAATCAGTTTTCAGATGATAGGCCTACCAATAAGTTCACTTGCCCAAAGATTGAGGAGCGCCTGATTCCACCGCGTTGTAACACAAATATCTTTCTTTCTGGCTGGGACCTCTCCACTCCACCAACAGCATAAGAGTCTGTGGCAGGGTGTGAGATGATGCTACAACTTTTTCAGGAATTTAGAAAAAAATCAGACCTTTTGAATATGTCTGCACTATGTAAACAATTCAGGCTTTGTACTGCATTTTATCCTGTGTTTTACTTTTCTGTAAAAAGAATTGAAATAACTGTTTTTATATAACAAATATGGTTTTCTTTTCAGAGCCAGCGCCTCCTTTTTTTTTAGTACGTTACATATTTTAAAAGAACATGATGCTAAAATGCTAATCTGGAGCTATGGTGACTAATCTTTTGGATCTTTTCAAGATGGGTCTGGTGACACTGGGCCCCATTTTACGCTTTATTTATTTTATTGTATTCTGAAATACGCCTGCTGCCATTTTGATCTTTCATAGATTAATAAGACTGCTGAGAGCGTTCATCCAGTTTGTTACAAGGGACATATGAAAAGTGTGTATTGTATTCCAAGTTGTATATATTGGTTCAGATGGTGATTGAGATGTATTGAGTCTTATTGATGAATTGTGACCTTTTTATAAACTGTAGAGGTGTATTGGTATTGGGTAGGGGGGGGGGAGGGAAAGGGAATTTGTTCTGGATGTGGAAAGAACAGGGGAATTCTTGCACTTTGATTGTTTGAGCAATGTTCATTGAAAGGTAAAAGGGTAACGTTGACCGCATGTCTTGCCATACTCGGTCAGAGAGAGTTTGTCTGGTCTCCCATGTCAGAGAATGACTTTTAAACTCTATAATTTAGCCTTATACAAATGCCATGAATCTAAAAAGAACTCGTTTTCTTCAAATGTGGTCTCGTCAAAACCAAGGTCCAGAGGCTGAGAATTAAGATTCAGAATCTGAGACCTAAAGGAACGCTTTCAATGCCCAATTAATTTGAGATTCATCAAGTTATGAAAGATCTGAGATATTGGGATACATAGGGAGATAGTAAGTAAGTAAGTAAGTAAGTAAGATAAATGATTTTGTGGAGTGTGGGGCGAAAGTTAAGCAGTCAAAAGATGAGCATTGAGCAACTGAACTGACTGGAAGAGACCAGCATTGAAAGCATGGGCCTTCCGAAGAAAGTGTCTGAAACTTTTCTGAGGTGAGATTGGTACAACTGTCGTTTGGGCCCGGAGTGTGTCAGATGCGCTGTAACTCAGCAAGGTCACATTTACAGGTGAAGATTGTGTGGCATTGCGGTGAAGTCAGGTGTTCGTTAAAATAATGAAATTTAAAACCCCCCTGATATTTTACCTCCTTTTGGGTAATTTTCATTGACTTTTTCTGTTTGTAAGGGGGGGGGGGGGGGAGCAGAGCTTCAACATCTTTTATGGCCATTTGGAAACACACGTCTATATTTGGAAACACACGTCTGTATTTGGAAACACACTTCTGTGCGAATTTTACTGAAAAACATTGATCAAAGGCACACCAAAAAAAAAGTGAATTTGCAGTTTCTGAGCACTCTTCAAGCTTTGGAAATGTTCAAACTTTAGTGGTCATTTTCTCTCTTATTTTTACCTTTGACACCTATTTGCGCAAGAATTATGGGTATTTTTTTTCCCATCAAAATCAAGACAAATGAACAAGCTTTAGGGTGATAGGTCATTTACTCCTTTTGCCCAAAAATTGACGCGCGCCTGATTCCACTGTGTCGCGACGCAATTCACTTGTATTGTGTAAAAAGATTCTATATATATATAAAAATTCTCTCACTAGTAAGAAATGCATGAAATGACCTTATGACGCTCAGCTTTATAATAATGATAATGTCAGTCTTTGCTCAGTACATTTTATGGCTTCGCATGCCTGTTTTTGAGGATAAAATCATCTGTATCTATTTCCACGCGACACATAATTTGCTATGCATGTTCGATCAATGACCACCAAGTCAGTATTATACGGTCCCTCGAGAGCTCCTATGTACAGCCAGCGTATACTTTTTGTTCCCAATGCCGTAGCAAACCAATTTTATTTTTACGTTCATGTTTAACAATTGGTCCCTTTTTAAGGACAAGCGGGCTAACCCAGATTTTGGGTAAATCCAGAAATCTTGACCTACACCAAAAGTGGGCATTGCCCTACCTATAGGAGAAGTTTGGGATCATTGGTGTGTATATTTGTTTGGTTATAGAGAAAACTCTCCTTGTCTTTTGAAGAAACTGAACAAGGGGAAGGGGCGAAAACTTTAGCTTCGATTTTCTCAAAACAGCCTTTTTCGGGATAGCCCCCTTGTGCTTAAAAGTGACCAATTGAATGTTTATGTATAGGAGAATGGTAAACTGAAGTTGAAGGCCAGTCTAAAAATAGAATGTTTTGGTGTGTGTGTGTAAACCTCTTGCTTGATGAGCAGCAGTTAGGAAGGGTTTTCCAAAGTACAGCTTCGAGTTTTCTCACTGGGTACAGGTAACCAAGTCCAAGGATGGAAGTGTGGAAATGAGTAGGTTGTTGGAAGTACTTTGCTTACCTTTGTATGTTTATCTAACTGTCTGTCTGTCTGTCTGTCTATCTGCTGGGACAAAATTTTGCGATGTTGAAATGGTTTTTTTGACTACACACAGATGTCCTTCAACTTCCCTTCCCCTCCCCCACCCCCACCCCCAAACCACACACACACACACACACACACACACACACACACACACACACACACACACACACACCCTTGCAATGACTGCTTGACTGCCTAGTACACTTAGTGACCAATATATTTATTCTCTCACCTGTGATGGTCCAATCGTCTTTTCATTTGAAAGTTTTATTTCACCATGAATCTTACGTTGTCTGTTCATTGCTTTTGAGGTTTTTGTCGGATTTGAACTGGTAACTGTCCTGAAATTATCCACTCATACGATCACCTGCCTTGTTTACTTTTAGTTTTAGTTAGACTTTTATTCCGGCACTTACAACACTAATAGGTTATATACATATATATATATATATATATATATATATATATTTTATATATATATATATATATATATATATATATATATATATATATATATATATATATATATATATATATTTATATATATATATGTATATATATTTATATAAATATCATGGTGCCATCACACCTGTCTAGAATTTACCTTTCTTTCCCCTGGCCCTGATTCAGGGTATGACATTGATGCTTGTTCAGTGAGGTCAACTGTAATGTTTTCTGAAAGTAACGCTCACAGACGGCAACTCTGAGTATTTTCTGTGAGGAATACTTTTAATGTGGACTCTGTGGGGTCTGTTCGGCAAATTGTAGGCTGTTAGCAGTTGCACACAGTAGATGTGGGTTCAATTCCCAAATGTGGAGATTTATCAAATATCTCAGTCTGTCAGCTGGGATGTTGTATCCCTCATAGCTCAGGTCTGTCTGATGGGATGTTGAATCGCTTTTAAGGACAAGCAGGCTAACCCACATTTCAAGGGTTTAAAAAAATCTTAACCTACACCAAAAGTGAGCATTGCCCTACCTATAGGAGAAGTTTGGTTTCATTGGTGTGTATATTTGTTTGGTTATAGAGAAGACTGTCCTGTTGTTTTTTTTTTAAAGAAACTGAATAAGGGTGAAAAAAACTTTAACTTCGATTTTCTCAAAACAGCATTTTTCGGGATAGCCTCCTTGTGCTTAACACTTTCACTGCTGCGAGCCATGGCTTGTGTTGCCCCCAACGCTGGACCGCGAGCTATGTTTCAGGGCTTGCCACTTCCTGCTTCAAAACCAGTCCTACTTTTGTAATAATCAAATCTGAAATCTCAGACTGAAATATGATCGTTTTTAGCAACATGTTGAGATAGGTAATTATTTCCCCTTTATTTCCATATAAAATACATGTGGCTAATATTGAAAATTGAACTTAAAAATCTTTAATTAATCCGACGTAGGCAGAACCAGAAAGTAGGTCACAGATCGGGCCCGGTCCAGGCGAGGCAGACCCCTCGTTAGTGAAAGAATTAAAAGTGACCAATATTGTCAGTAGGAGCGTAAAATACCCACAGATACATTATATGTACCCTCACAGTGTGCTTGATGAAGCTCAGGTGTGAGGGTACCAAGGGGAGACATTAAAATGGTGGGATAGTAAAAGTAAAGATATACGGGAGGAGAAAATTGCTCAAGTAACTTTAGTTGTTGTTGTGTAATGCAGACAGAGTTTTATTTCAAGATTCGAGGCATTTGTGAGGTATTGTGGTGAAATCAGGCGCTTGTCAAAATAATTAAATCAAAGAATCTGGCATTTCTCTGGCCTTTGGGCAATTTTTTTAGAGTTTTTTTTTTATCAGCACCTTTTATGTCCATTTAAAAACACATTTCCGTGTTGAGTTTACTGAAAAACGTTGATTAAAGGCACAAAAACTGTAAACTTGCAGTTTCCAAGGACTCTCAAGCTATGGAAATTACAAAACTTTGGTGGACATTTTCTTGCTAATTTTACCTCTGAAAGCAGTAAACCTTAACCTCCATCAATCACAAATATCTCGGCTTGTATTCAATATAGTTTGATTAATTTTTTTTATGAAAGCAAGGCAAATGATATGGCTTTGAGATGATATCTATAACCCTATATGCTAAAAAATGGACAAGCGCCTG